CCTGGAGAGGGTGACACAGTGACACCGGAAGACGCAATCCCCGCGCCCAGTCTGGGTCTCCCCCCAAACGCCCACTCACAGCCCTGGACGCCCAGCAGGGGGGCTCCCTCCGCCCAGCAGGGGCCCCATCCCTCTGGTTCCCGCCACCTCCCTTAAGGTTGGTGTCCGAGTCCAAGTCCTCATTTTAATTTTGTTATTAATCCTCGCTGAGGGCATTTCCCACTGGTCTTTAGAGAGTGGGAGACAGCGGGGGAGACAGAAGCATTGACGTGAGGAACACCCCGGGCGGTTGCCTCACGCCAGGGCCTGCCACAGGTGCCTCTGACCGGAACTAAACCCGGGACCCTTCGGTGCTCACGCAGCCGGACGCTCTACCCACTGAGCCAAACCGGCCAGGGCTGGGCCCTCCATGCCAGCAGTAAGCAGACACGTGGGGGTGACGCCCAGCGCTGGGGACCCCAGAACCTCCCTTGGCCCCTCCTCGGCGGGGTCCCAGCAACGCCCGAGAGACAGCCAGCCGGGCGCAGCCAGGGGCCACGGGGCCGGCTGCGGGGAGGGGAGGTTCCTGGAGAGCCCTGTCCCCCTTCCTCCGGGCACCCCCGCTCCTCGCCTGCCCGCCACCAGGTGCTTCCTGAGCAGACGTCACCTAACCAGCCCCCCCCCTTCCTGGGGCCCCGCCCCCCGAGGTCAGGACGGAGGCTGGGGGGCCGTTCCCACGAACAGCCGGCCAGACACACACCCCCACACGCTCCCGAGCAATGACTTCCTGTTCCTCCTGCGAGTCTGGCCCGCCCCCCGCGTCTGAGCCGGTTCACAGGCACAAGGCGTGCCCGGCCACCATCTCGCTGCCGGCCGCCATCCCAGCGAGCCGCCCGCGCCCGCGCTGCCAGCGGGAGGGGACGGCCTCAGGAAGGGGACGGTCTCCTCCTCCAGCTCTCACTGATCTGAGGGAAATAACCCAGCCTCTGTGTTTTGACTCAAAACAAAGAAACTTTTAAAAAACATTTCGGTTGAGACTTGCATAATTCTCCAGCCAGAGGCCTCCCTGGCTTTCGCAATCCTTAGAAAGAGCCACATTATTGCTGCTTGTGTAACAGTCTGGGGCCGCCGCCGCCGGCACGGGCACGGGCCTCCCGCGGACGGTCTGTGCAGCCCGGAAGCGCCGTGGCCGGTGTGGGGCTGGGGTCACGCTTCCTCCCGCCCGTCCCGTCTGCCTCGCCGACACCCAGCACCGACGGCGCGGCCCGCGCCCGCGCCCGCGCCCCTCCTCAGCGCCGCTCACGGGCCGAGGGCGGCAGGGGCAGAGGTGAGGGCCGCTCGGTGACCTGCTGTCCCCAGTGCGACGCCCGCATCAGGGAAACCCCAGGAGGCGGGCCATTCCCGGAGAACCACGGGACGGGGCTGCTCGCTGCAGACAGACGGACACCAGGCAGCCCTCCCCCTGCCCCCCCGCTCCACGGCCAGGGACAGGGTGCAGGGCAGACCAACCTCTGTTCCCCATTTGAGAAGACACCCCGCAACCTTTACCCTAATGTCCAGACTGACGCACAGACCCATCCTGCATTGGGGGGGCGGGGGGTGCCAGGAGCCTCCCCTCAAAGCATCACCCGAGATGGCACCCCACCTTCTCAGCCAACGGTCTGGAACCAGGAAATCACCCTGGAACCCCACAAAATAGAGCACCCCCAGGGGACACAGGTCAGTGGACCCTCGAGATGGCAGGGGCCTGGCGGCCGGGGGAGCACAGCTGCCCGCGGAGAGGAATTCCTGGAGGGACACGCTGGCCGGAGCGGCACCCCGATGGGACCCCCTTCCCGTGGGAATCCTAGCTCGGAGGTCCCCGAGAGGGATCCTGAGAGGCCAGCTGCTCGAGGCTGAGCGCGCCGGGAAGCCAGCGTCCACTCGACAGACCATCCAGCCGTGGGCGCTCCCGCCACGGCCTGTGGGCCAGTGGGCCGCCGGCCTAACGCGCCAGCCACACACCAGGGCCACCTGCGGGAGAGCCCCCCTGGAACTCGGTCGGAGGGACGGAGGGACACAGGGACGGAGGGACAGCACTTCCGAGGAGCCTGCTGGGGCCCCAGGGACGCATGCAGTGACTGCCCGGCGTCCCCGAAGGGGCAGCACCTGGTCCCGGCAGGAGGGGCAGCGGCTCCCCACACCCAAGCGCCAGCGACGGCACCTGAGCTGCTACGACCAGCCCGACGTGGCCGACGCCACCGGACCAGCTGGGGAGGCGGAGTGCCAGCAGCAAACGGACACGACACCTCCACACCGGGAGGAAGCGGCTGCCGCCACGTCCCACATCCCGGTGACACGTGAGGAAACTGAGGCACAGGCTACGCAGCCCGCTCAAGGTCACCAGGCCAGCGAGGGCCCATGCGGCTCCCACCCACACCCAGCTCCGCACTGTGGGCGCCCGGACAGCAGGCGGGGGAGCTGTGGGACCCGTTACAGCAGAGGCGTCATGAGGAAGGCCCCAGCCTGCGCCCACGATGCCGCCCTCGCAGGCTTTCCAGCCAGAGCTGGCACCCGCCCCACGCTCGGTGCCGCCCGGCCCCCACGGCCCCCACGGCTGGGCCTCGGCGAGGGGCGAGCAGGCGATGGGGCCTGGGGACACCGCCCACGGCACAGAAGCGACCGAGCGTCCGTCTGGCAGGCCCGGGCGACACCTCGGCCGCTAACACCGCTAACACCGGGACGCACAGCCTCCCCGGGGAGCCCTGGCCCCGAGGGCAGCTCCACCCGGCCGCGGCGCATCAGAAACATCACAACGGGCTACAAAGGACGTGGAGGCATCCACGCGGCCATGGACGCGCCGTCCAGAGGCAGCGGGAGGAGCGGGCGGCGCTGGGAGGGGTCTCCCCAGCGGCTGCTTCCAGAGCAAACAGCGAGGCAGCTGTGGGTCCCCCAGCCCGAGGCCGGGACCCTCCCCTCACGTGGTGCCTCTGGCATGTAGACACGAGCACACGGCTGTGCTGGGAAGATTTAAAGGGGACCACACACCCCAAGACTCCGTGGTGCTATCAGAGCCAAGGCAGCAGGGCGAGGGGGCCAGGCTGGCAGGAAGAGCTCAGAGGCAGGGCAGGGGTGGCTGTGGGGGGGCAGCAGGAGGGTGGGTAGGAGCCCTGGAGCTGCAGCCGGCAGAGACGGGGACAGACCTGGGGCCCAGGCCATGGTGAGGACGGGGCTGGGTTGCCCTGAGGCCTGGAGGCCCACCGCTTGGGAAATGTTTTAAACCCGTCCACGCGGTTTCCGAGCGGCTCTGGGAGGGCACTGAAGTGGAAGGGACAGTGCTGACCATCTGCCGCGGTGGCCGGAGTGAAAGTGAGCTCCCCCGCCTGAGGACGCAGCCCGCACGGGTACAGGGCTGCTATGGGCGCCAGGCCGGCCGCGTAGGCGACAGAGGCAACCCCAGGCCGGCAGGAGACCGCAAACACACACATGACCCAGATTCGGACACAAACACGGAGCAGACACGCCCTGCCAGACAACACCCTCTGCTGTCCGCGCTGAAGGTGAGGGCCTGCCGTGGCCTCGCCAGCGAGCTCCAGGCAGCCAGGACCCACACGGGCCCCTCAGGCCACGCTGGCTGTCCAGGGAGGGCCCAGCATGCCTCCGAGAGCCAAGTCCACCTCAAACGAAGGGCCCGCTGGCAGCCTTCCCACCAGCACCCCTGGCGCACCCGCTGCCCCACGGCAAACCACGGTCTGCACACAGCTGCCACCTGGGCACTGGGCTAGCCAGGGCAGAAATGCGCGCGCGCACACATGCACAGGCGAGTACATGCACACATGCACACACAGGCAAGCACGCACGCACAGGCGAACACACACAGGCGAGTACACGCACGCACACATGCGGCGCCCCCTCCGATCACAGGCGACAGGCCCTCATTCCCAGCCCCTCCTCCGCTCCCAAGACTGACACTCCGCTGGAGGGGCGCCCAGAGAAAATCGGGCGGGAGCTCTATTCACAGATTCAGAAAAAGAAGTTTGATGCAATAGCTGAATTAATTAGCCTCCCAGAATAGCTGAGCCAGGGCAGCATTCTGTGCAGCTTTAATAAGCCTGGAAATGCAAAAGGAAAGTTGCAGATTCGTGGGGAGGGGGCGACGCCAAGGGAAGCTGGTGAGGACCTCAGTGGCCGCGTCCAGTGTCCGGCAGTACCGGGAGGGGCCAGGCACACACCAGCGCCGCCTGGCCTGCCTGCCTGCCCTCCCTGTCCTCCAGGCCGAGGCAGAGGGACGTGGGCGCCTCCAAAACAAACTGCAAGCCACAGGCCCCTCAAGCTCCCGCCTGGGTGCGCGGTGCCCGCGGCCCGCACACGGACTCGGCTCACTCCCTGGAAGGCCCGGAGACACAGAGCTGGAGTCCCCAAGTCTCGGCCCCCTGCCAGGTGCCAGGACACGGCTCTGCCTCCCAGTTTCCCGGGACTTCCAGGCACACACAGAGGCTCAGCCGGGCCAAGTCTGTCCGCGGGAGCTGGGGGCAGGCACCCCTCGGTCTGCGGGTCTGGGAGCTCCGTGGTTACGGCAGTGCCCTTTGCCCCCACCTGATCTGGACACTTCCCGGGGTGCCCGGAGGAAGGCAGGCCCGGCCCAGGTCTCACTTCCCAGGACCCTGGGCAGGAGCGTCCCGAGGCCCGAGGCCTGCCCTGCCCCGCCTTTCTGGGCAGCTGCCCGGCCGGAGGGCTTCTCCCCGCACTGGGCCGGGCCAGGCCAGGCCCTCCACGCCAGGCCAGGCCGGCCGGCCCTAGGGCTGAGGCAGGAGGGGGCCGCCCCCCAGCCACAGGGCCATCCGGGGACTCCAAAGCTAACCTGTCTCTCCTTCAAACAAAGCAAAACCCTGCGCCGTGGGGGAGGCAGCGCAAAGCAGGTCTCGGCCTGCAGAGACAGGGCCCCTGCCGGGAGGCCCCCACCCTCGCCCGGCCCGGCCCGGCCCCACCCCGCCCGCTCCCTCCCTCCCTCCCTCCCTGCCCCGGCCGGCGGGGACACTCACCAGGGGCACCCTCCGCTTGTACTTGTTGCCGTAGTCGAACTTCTCCTTCACGTCGTCCAGGCAGCGGCCCAGGCGCGCCTGCTCCTCCTTGCCCGTGTAGTCCTGGCTCAGCAGGATGTAGGCCCGCCAGTTGGCCGAGTCGAAGCCCCAGTGGCAGGTCCGGTTCTCCAGCGCCTTGTGCGAGTGCACCACGAACTTGTGCGGCGGGTACATGAGGCGGCAGTCGAGGCACTGGATGCAGGCGGCGCTCGGGCTGCTGTAGAGCTCGGGCACCAGCAGCCCCTTGCACTTGCCGAAGCACTCGTGGTACACGCGCAGGCTGCGCTCGCGCAGCTCCAGGCCCAGCGCCAGGCCGGCCGCCAGCTCCTTCTTGCAGGGCGGCGGGTAGGCGCCGCCGTAGAGCAGCGCGTTGCACAGGCGCTCGGCGTCCGTCTTGGTGATGAGCCCGCACGAGGGCGCCGAGAAGGGCAGGATGCCCATGACTTTGAGGATCTCCAGCTGGTCGGCCGTGCAGCGCGAGCAGTAGATGTGCAGCTCGTCGCACACGGAGTTGATCTGCTGCAGCGAGAAGTCGCGCAGCACCGAGTTGAGGATCTGCGGCAGGCACAGGCGCTTCTCGCCGCCCACCACGAAGCACGAGATGGTCTCGCCCTCCAGCACGGTCTCGCAGCGCTCGGTGGAGCGGTCGGACGGCATGAAGAAGGGCCCGGGCAGCACGGGCGGCGGCGGCTGGATGGCGGGCAGGTGCAGCACGGGCGGCGGCTCGGCGGCGGCGGCGGGCAGCGGGGCGGACACGGCGGCCGCGCCCGCCTCCTTGGCGCTCTCCTTCTTGTAGGCCTCCTGCGCCCAGCGCGCCGAGAAGGCCGCCGGGCCGCCCAGCGAGCTCATGGAGCTCAGGTGGAACTGCTCCAGCGTCTTCTGCAGCCCCGGGTGCGGCTGGAAGCCGCCGCGCCCGCCCGCCGCCGCCTCCATGGCGCGCTCCGGCTCCGCGGGCCGCTCCCGGTCCCGCGCGCCGGGGCCCCCGCGGCCGCCGCCGCCGCCCCGCGCGCCCCGGCGGCGGCCCCGGCCCCGGCCCCGGCCGCCCCCCGCCGCCGGCTCCCGGACGATCACGGCCGCGGCCTCGGCCTCGCCCGGGGGCGCGAAGGGGAAGGCGGGCGGGGCGAAGGGGTCCCGCCGCTGCAGCCCGCCGCCGCCCGGGCCCGGCGCCACATCCACGCGCCCCGCGCCGCGCCCGCCGCCCGGGCCCCCCGCGCGCCCCCCGCGCGCCCCCCGGGCCCTAGGCGCGGGGCATGCCCCCGCGCGCGCCGCCAACGCCAACGCCAACGCTCGCGGGCCCGGGGCACGCGGGGGGCGCGCGGGCAGGTGCCGGCGCCGCGAGGCGCGAATCGCCGCGGTGGCCGAGGCCGCGGGGCCCGGGAGGAGCGGGGGCGCGGGCGCGGGGCCCGCCGGGCCGTCCTCGCGCGGCGCGCCGCCGCCCCGCTCCTCCCACCGCGCGGCGCCCGCCCGGCTCGTCCCGGCGGCGCTGGCCGGCCGCGTCGCGCCCGCCGCCGGCCGCCCCGGCCCGGCCCTGCCCGCGCCCACCCCGCCGCCCGCGCCGGCTCCGCGGCCCGCCCGCCGGCCGCCCCCCGCGAGCGCGGCCTCCGGGGCGGCGGAGCGCCTGTGAGGCGGCCTCAAAGCACGGCGGCGGCGGCGGCGGCGGCGGCGCGGGGATCGGCGAACATCCTCCCGGCGGCTCGCTCCGGCTCGGACTGAGCGCCCGGCGTTGAGCTCACGCCGCCCCGCCCCGCGCCCCGCCCCGCGCCGCGCCGCCGCCCCGCCCCGCGCGCCGTCCGGGCCGCGCGTCCGCCTCAGCCGAGCGCCGGCCAGGAATGCGACCGCCTCGCGGCGGCTCTTCCAGGAACGCGCGCTCCCCCGCCCGCTCCGGGCCGCTCGGCCGCGCTCGGCACCGCTCGGGCCTGTCCGCCTGACACTCGGCCCCGTCCGCCAGGCACTCGGCCCTGCTCGGCCCCGCCCACCTGGGACTCGGCCTCGCTCGGCTCCTCTCGGCTCCGCCCACCTGGGACTCGGCCTCGCTCGGCTCCTCTCGGCTCCGCCCACCTGGGACTCGGCCCCGCTCGGCTCCGCCCACCTGGGACTCGGCCCAGCTCGGCTCCGCTCGGCCCCGCCCTCCGGAAGGCCGCTCTGCGGGGGCGGCGGCGGCGCCGGGGGCCCCCTTTCCGGCCGAGGCCGCTTCCTGCGCGGCTGGGAGGGCTCCGGTCCCGTCGCCGACGCCGGGGCCCAGAAACCCACTTGCGGCCCCGCCACAACCGCAAACCAGCGGGGAAGCGGGCGGGACGGGACCGCGCGGCCCCACCGCACGCCCCGCGACCCCTTCCATGACGGGGTTGCAACACACCGCACAGCCCCGCTCCCCACGAACACGGCCCGGGGTCCCCCCATGACGGGACCCCGCGCGGTAGGACCCAGGGTCCGACATAGGACAAGGACGCCACGGAACAAAAGGGTCATTAGCACGTTAGGGTAGAAACACCCCGAGACCCCACGCTGGAGACAGACACCCCTCAACATGTCCCAGGACCCCCGCCCCCTTCTGGCCAGGGCTGCATTCACCCCCCTAACCCCAGGGATGTGCCCGAGCAACACCCACAACCTCAGGACCCTGCACCGTGGTTGCCCGCACGGCCAGCAGGACCGCTAGCCAGCAGCTTGGGCTCCCAGCTGTCCCCACGCAGGACAGCGGGCTCCAGGGGCAGGGGCTGTGCCTGGGACGGATGGCCCTGCACCCAGGGGGCTGTGGCCAGGGCCAGGCCTAGGGGGGTGGTCCTCGGGAATGGAGACCCTGCGTACCCTTAGCCTGCAGCCTCCCAGGCCGGAGAGCCACGTCTGCAGCCTCCTCCCCGTGTGGCCCGTCCCCCACACTGGCTGTGTCCTGGGCAGACAAAGCACTTGAGGGCAGAGAACTTGGGACCTTGGACAGGCGGGCAGGGTGGCCCCCAAAGAAGGCCTGAGGTGGGGACTTGAAGTCGGGAGCAGTCCTGGCTGTTTTCAACCTGAGTGAGGGTGGGGGCACCTTTTCCTCACACCGTGAGGGCACCCACACCGGCCTGGGCGTTGGGGGGCCTGGGGTCGTCTGCTGTGCTGGGCAACGGCCCCGGGACCACACCACTTCAGCTCGGGTGGCCTGAGCGAGTCACCTACTGCTCCCACCTCCCCAGTGGAGACTGGCACTGACCCCCAGCCAGTGCTGCTGGGGGCAGCGCCTGCCCAGGTCGCTGGCCGGGCATCTCTGCAGACCCGGAGGTGCAGGCAGGTCCCTGGAGAGGCAGGTAGCTTGGGCGGGCGGACCAGTGACCACAAACCTTCCCAGCCTCAGACCCAGGCAGGCACCCGGTAGGAGCTGGGGTCTGAGGTTCAGGGTTTAGGGCTCCATGTTTGAAAACCAGACTGCTCCCCACCGTGACATGAGCCTCTCCCCATCCAACCCCACCCCCATCCCCCGAAAAACCTGTGCCCGGGGACAATCCACCCTGTCCTCCCTCCCACGACTTCTCCGGGTGTGAATATGAGGTCAGAACAGGGGCATTTAAAACCCGAGGCCCGGCCGTCAGGGCACATGCCTGGGTTGCAGGCTCCATCCCTGGGAGGAAGCCGAGCCGGAGGTAGCCAATCAGTGATGTTTCTTTCTCATCGATGTTTCTATCTCTCTATCCCTCTCCCTTCCTCTCTCTAAAAAATAAAAAACATAACAAAATAATAACAGTACATAAAAGCCAAAGAAAAGGGACTTTCCAGAAATCGCTCTCTGGGCCCAGAAGCACTCGTGTTGCACCTGAGAGCATCAGTCCCTTCCCCGTGGACGGGAGCCCTGGAGGCGGGCAGCCTGTCCCTGCATGAGGCTGTCTGCACAGACTGTGCCACAGCGGCTAGCAGGAAGGGCTTCCTCCTGCCCTGTAGCTGCTGGGCACTGCCCACCCCGCAGCGGGCCGTGCTGGCTCCTGCTGCCCTTCCCTCCGTGCCCCGGCTTTGCAAGGCTCCGGGAAGGGGCCGCAGCGAGAGCCAACACTGTCCCGCAGCCGCAAGGTCCAGAGTGAAGCCAGCGGGGTGTGAGGGGGTAAGGGGCAGGTGTGAAAGGCCCTCAGATGCAGGATGGGGGGCGGGGGGCTGCTCTCGGAACCTTCTGCTCCCCGTGGGAGTGGAGGTCCCCTTCCTAAGGTGTTGGAGTTTCTAAAAGAGCCAAGCCCTCCCACCGGCCAGGACCAGGGCCGCGTACCTGCGTGGAGCCGGCCAGGCCCCATCTGCCCTGAGCCTGGTGGGGCGCTCCCACCTGCTGGTCCCCCCCCCCCCACAGCAGCCCACTCCTCCCAGGGTCTCAGGACCACGGACCAGGCACCATCCCGGCAGGTGGAGGGTCAAGGCCCAGGCACAGACAGCCACGCGGGGGCCGAGGCAGGGACCAGGCCCTTGCCTGGCGGATGGGTGTGGGCAGCTGGTCATGTGTGTCCACTCGCTGCTCAGCCCCCGCAGGTGTGAGCCGGGGTCTGGGACCAGCCAACTTCTCTCCTCCTCCCCCGGGCGGCGGGCACAGGATGGGCCCCACGGCGGGACGGAGCGGGTCCTGCAGGCCGGCGGCAGCTTCAGGGCAGGGACTGAGAGAGGAGGGTGCGGCCGGAGCTCAGGGGCCCGCTGGGGAAATGGGCGGAGAGGCCCAGACCCGCAAGCTGCTCAGAGGGTCCGCCCCGGACAGCGGGCCCCAGCGGGCGCTCCGGCCTCCGGCTCCCGCCTGCCTCTGCTCCCTGCACCTCGAGGCGCAGAGGAGACCCTGGGCACAGCCGGGCACACACCACCATCGTCAGGAACCTGCTGAGATGCTGCCTTAAGCTCGGCTGGCGCGGCTCAGCCGGTGAGCCTTGACCTATGACCCAGGAGGTCGGGGTTCGATTCTGGTCACAGCGCAGGCCCAGGTTGCGGGCTTGATTCCCACTGGCGGGTGTGCCGGAGGCAGCCGGTCCTTGATTCTCTCTCGTCATGGATGCTTCCATCTCTCCCTCTCCCTTCCTCTCTGAAACCAATAGAGACATTTAAAAAAAAAAAAAAAAAAAAAAAAGACATTGTCTTAAAACTTTAAATCTGAATAAATGTTCTCGGCTAACGTGACTGTAACAGCTTAGAAAAGACCTTTGTCTCCACCAAAGGCGACCTCAGCCGGAGATGGGCAGACAGCTGACGTGTGTGTGTGTGTGTGTGTGTGTGTGTGTGCAGCCTGCACCCTCCTGCCCGGGGAGCTGGGTCCTGGGCACAGCGGGGGCCCAGCCCCGGGAGCAGGGAGAGGGCAGCGGGGGCACAGCTCGGTGAGGAGCGTCGGGGCCGAGGGGGGAATTCGCACCCGGGACCGTGCGGGACCCTGTGGTTCTGGGCTGGAATTCGCTGTGAACTCGCTTCGGCGTTTATGAGCAAAGGGAGCAGCTGCGGGTGAGGATGTGGTACCAGCCTCCAGCCGTGGGGAGCTGTGTCCAGAGAGGGGTCCCCCACCCCGAGGCAGCCCCTCCCCCCCAGGGGAGGGCGCCCAGAGAGCGTTCTGCTGGAAGGAACGGCTCGGCTCAGCTGGCGGCTTCCGGCTCCAGTCCCGGCACACACGGGGGCTGAGGCTGGGGCAGCGACCGATTGATGCGTCAATGCTTTTCTCTCTCTCTCTCTTCCGCCCTCTCTTTCAAATCAGTTTTGTTTTGTTTTGTTTTTTTTAAACGACATACCCTCTAGTGAGGATTTAAAAAAGAAAAGAGAGGAACCAGAGGGCTTTAGGGAAATGGCGGGTCCCAGGACCAGGAGGGACCGAGGGCTCACCGCAGGGCAGGCAGGTCAAAGGGCACGGAGCCTGCGCACGCCCCCCTCTCCCCCCTCCCCCCAGGGCCCAGGGGAAATCCAAACGGATTGAACACAACCAGGGAATAAAATAGGAATCCACACGTCCACGC